AAGAAATATTTTTCTTTTCAGATATTTATTTTGTTAAGGAAAAATGACAAATGTTTGAATGTTCTACCTCAGATTTTTAAAACCACAACGCTCTGGTTTATACAACTTTCACTTAGGAGCAAAAATTTGCCTTTAAACTTGAAAGAAATAAAGATTTGACATTTATCGTGATAATTATCGATATCGACTGATATAAAAAAAAATATCGTGATAAATTTTTTTGGCCATATCGCCCAGCCCTACTTTACACCACTGCATCCCACGCTTTACACCACTGCACCCCACGCTTTACACCACTGCATCCCACGCTTTACACCACTGCACCCCACGCTTTACACCCCTGGATACCACGCTTTAGACCACTGCATCCCACGCTTTACACCCCCGGATCCCACGCTTTACACCACTGCATCCCACGCTCTACTCCACTGCATCCCACGCTTTACTCCACAGCATCCCACGCTTTACTCCACAGCATCCCACGCTTGCACCACTGCATCCCACGCTTTACACCACTGCATTCCACGCTTTACACCACGCTTTACACCACTGCATCCCATGCTTTACACCACTGCATCCCACGCTTTACACCACTGCACCCCACGCTTTACACCCCCGGATCCCACGCTTTACACCACTGCATCCCACGCTTTACTCCACTGCACCCCACGCTTTACTCCACAGCATCCCACGCTTTACACCTTTGCATCCCACGCTTTACACCACTGCATCCCACGCTTTACACCACTGCATCCCACGCTTTACACCACTGCATCCCACGCTTTACACCACTGCATCCGACGCTTTACACCACTGCATCCCACGCTTTACTCCACAGTATCCCACGTTTTACTCCACTGCATCCCACGCTTTACACCACTGCATCCCACGCTTTACACCACTGCATCCCACGCTTTACACCACTGCATCACACGCTTTACACCAGTGCATCCCATGCTTTACACCACTGCATCCCACGCTTTACACCACTGCATCCGACGCTTTACACCACTGCGTCCCACGCTTTACACCACTGCATCCCACGCTTTACACCACAGCATCCCACGCTTTACACCACTGCATCCCACGCTTTACACCACTGCATCCCACGCTTTACACCACTGCATCCGACGCTTTACACCACTGCATCCCACGCTTTACACCACTGCACCCCACGCTTTACTCCACTGCATCCCACGCTTTACTCCACAGCATCCCACGCTTTACACCACTGCATCCCACACTTTACACCACTGCATCCCACGCTTTACACCACTGCATCCCACGCTTTACACCACTGCATCCCACGCTTTACACCACTGCATCCCACGCTTTACACCACTGCATCAGACGCTTTACACCACTGCATCCCACGCTTTACACCACTGCACCCCACGCTTTACACCCCCGGATCCCACGCTTTACACCACTGCATCCCACGCTTTACACCACTGCACCCCACGCTTTACACCCCCGGATCCCACGCTTTACACCACTGCATCCCACGCTTTACTCCACTGCATCCCACGCTTTACACCACTGCACCCCACGCTTTACTCCACAGCATCCCACGCTTTACACCACTGCATCCCACGCTTTACTCCACAGCATCCCACGCTTTACACCACTGCATGCCACGCTTTACACCACAGCATCCCACGCTTTACACCACTGCATCCGATGCTTTACACCACTGCATCCCACGCTTTACACCACTGCATCCGACGCGTTACACCACTGCATCCCACGCTTTACACCTTACACCTCTGCATCCGACGCTTTACTCCACTGCATCCCACGCTTTACTCCACAGCATCCCACGCTTTACACCACTGCATCCCACGCTTTACACCACTGCATCCGACGCTTTACACCACTGCATCCGACGCTTTACACCACTGCATCCCACGCTTTACACCACTGCATCAGACGCTTTACACCACTGCATCCCACGCTTTACACCACTGCACCCCACGCTTTACACCCCCGGATCCCACGCTTTACACCACTGCATCCCACGCTTTACACCAGTGCACCCCACGCTTTACACCCCCGGATCCCACGCTTTACACCACTGCATCCCACGCTTTACTCCACTGCATCCCACGCTTTACACCACTGCATCAGACGCTTTACACCACTGCATCCCACGCTTTACACCACTGCACCCCACGCTTTACACCCCCGGATCCCACGCTTTACACCACTGCATCCCACGCTTTACACCACTGCACCCCACGCTTTACACCCCCGGATCCCACGCTTTACACCACTGCATCCCACGCTTTACTCCACTGCATCCCACGCTTTACACCACTGCACCCCACGCTTTACTCCACAGCATCCCACGCTTTACACCACTGCATCCCACGCTTTACTCCACAGCATCCCACGCTTTACACCACTGCATGCCACGCTTTACACCACAGCATCCCACGCTTTACACCACTGCATCCGATGCTTTACACCACTGCATCCCACGCTTTACACCACTGCATCCGACGCGTTACACCACTGCATCCCACGCTTTACACCTTACACCTCTGCATCCGACGCTTTACTCCACTGCATCCCACGCTTTACTCCACAGCATCCCACGCTTTACACCACTGCATCCCACGCTTTACACCACTGCATCCGACGCTTTACACCACTGCATCCGACGCTTTACACCACTGCATCCCACGCTTTACACCACTGCATCAGACGCTTTACACCACTGCATCCCACGCTTTACACCACTGCACCCCACGCTTTACACCCCCGGATCCCACGCTTTACACCACTGCATCCCACGCTTTACACCAGTGCACCCCACGCTTTACACCCCCGGATCCCACGCTTTACACCACTGCATCCCACGCTTTACTCCACTGCATCCCACGCTTTACACCACTGCACCCCACGCTTTACTCCACAGCATCCCACGCTTTACACCACTGCATCCCACGCTTTACTCCACAGCATCCCACGCTTTACATCACTGCATCCCACGCTTTACACCACTGCATCCCACGCTTTACACCACTGCATCCCACGCTTTACACCACTGCATCCCACGCTTTACATCACTGCATCCCACGCTTTACACCACTGCATCCCACGCTTTACACCACTGCACCCCACGCTTTACACCCCTGGATACCACGCTTTAGACCACTGCATCCCACGCTTTACACCACTGCATCCCACGCTTTACACCACTGCACCCCACTTTTTACCCCCCCGGATCCCACGCTTTACACCACTGCATCCCACGCTTTACACCCCTGGATACCACGCTTTAGACCACTGCATCCCACGCTTTACACCACTGCACCCCACGCTTTACACCCCTGGATACCACGCTTTAGACCACTGCATCCCACGCTTTACACCACTGCATCCCACGCTTTACACCACTGCACCCCACTTTTTACCCCCCCGGATCCCACGCTTTACACCACTGCATCCCACGCTTTACTCCACTGCATCCAACGCTTTACACCCCCGGATCCCACGCTTTACACCACTGCATCCCACGCTTTACACCACTGCATCCCACGCTTTACACCCCCGGATCCCACGCTTTACACCACTGCATCCCACGCTTTACTCCACTGCATCCCACGCTTTACACCCCTGGATACCACGCTTTAGACCCCCGGATCCCATGCTTTACACCACTGCATCCCACGCTTTACTCCACTGCATCCCACGCTTTACTCCACAGCATCCCACGCTTTACACCACTGCATCCCACGCTTTACTCCACTGCATCCCACGCTTTACATCACTGCATCCCACGCTTTACACCACTGCATCCCACGCTTTACACCACTGCACCCCACGCTTTACACCCCTGGATACCACGCTTTAGACCCCCGGATCCCACGCTTTACACCACTGCATCCCACGCTTTACACCACTGCATCCCACGCTTTACATCACTGCATCCCACGCTTTACACCACTGCATCCCACGCTTTACACCACTGCATCCCACGCTTTACACCACTGGATCCCACGCTTTACACCACTGCACCCCACGTTTTACTCCACTGCATCCCAGGCTTTACACCACTGCATCCCACGTTTCACTCCACTGCATCCCACGGTTTACACCACTGCATCCCACGTTTTACACCACTGCATCCCATGTTTTACACTACTGCATCCCACACTTTACACCACTGCATCCCACGTTTTACACCACTGCATCCGACGCTTTGCATTGCACTTGGTGATGTAAGGCTTGGTTGCAGCTGCTCGGCCATGGAAACCATTTCCATTATGCTCTCTATGTGCACTGTTCTTGAGCTATTCTGAAGGCCACAAGAAGTTTGGAGGTCTGTAGCTATTGACTCTGCAGAAAGTATCAAAGCATGCGCTGACCCCGCTCTGTGATTTTGATGGTGGTTGAGGAGATTCCCCCTTCCATGTGTAGTGCTTTGAGTGCCTAGAAAAGCGCTATATAAATGTAATGAATTATTATTATTTTATGTGGCTTACCACTTCGTGGCTGAGTTGCTTTTGCTCCCAATTGTTATAATTTGTTATAAGTTCCACTTTGTTATAATACCAATGACAGTTGACCGTGGAATATTTAGTAGTGAGGAAATTCCATGAATGGACTTATTGCACAGGTGGCAACCTATCATGGTACCACGCTTGATCTTCACTGAGCTTCTGAGAGCGACCCATTCTTTCACAGATGTGTGTAGAAGCGTCTGCATGCCTAATGCTTGATTTTATACAACTGTGGCCATGGACGTGATTGGAACACCAGAATTTTATTATTTGGAGAGGTGTCCCAATACTTTTGGCAATACAGTGCCAATACTCTCACATAATTCACGGTTATTTAAATATTGTTGATTTAATTACCTCGAACAAAACTAAAGATCATTAACAAGACCCAAAATTGCTGCGTTGATATCTAGAGGTTCAGAGGACAATAAGATCAAATGTGATGAGCCTTTAGCCCTGTTGTGCCCTAGAACTGTGTGTGTTCTCAATCACCTATAAAGATGAGCAAGATCCCCACTAACACCTGCAGACAGAGCGACAGGCTAATGAGCGTGACGAGGGACGTGTACAGGGAGTATTCGGGCCCCTGCTCCAGCACGGCCTTCAGCTGCGACGCGTTGGCCATCAGCAGGGCCACGTCCAGCATGCTCTCCGCTGCACTCTTCTTATTGGCATAATGGTTCATGTTTAGAGGGGCGGGCGACTGACCCAGACTGTGAGAAGCCTGGCGAGAGAAAGATGGAGAGAGAATAATATCAGTACACCTTAAAAGAGTAGTTCACTCCTGACCCCCATGTCATCCAAGCTATTCAGGTCTTTCTTTCTTCAGTTGAAAAGAAATTAAGGTTTTTGAGGAAAACACTCCAGGATTTGCATTACGTAATGACGTTGAAAGGTCATGCGTGACGTAGGTGAAAGTACCGACCTAGTGTTTACAAAAACTAAGTCAAACGCCATTTACAAAATAAATAAATAAACAAAAGGTAAAACAACGATGACGGACGATTTTGAAGTTGGAGGAGAAGTTTTGAGTTTTTTGCTCTACATTTTTTAACAGGAACACGCGTGACCTTTCAACCTGATTACGTAATGTGTGTCGCATCACAGCTAGTGCAAGACGAGCAGTTGTGGTTAAAAAGTATATAAATGTTTGTTGTTTTTTTTAGAAAAATAGTCAGATGGTTTGTCTAGATGAGACTCTTATTCCTCGGCTTGATCGTGTCGAGACTTTGAAGCTGCACTGAAACTCACATCTGGACCTTCGACCCGTTGGACCCCATTGAAGACACTATATGGAGAAACACCTGGAGTGTGTTCCTCAAAAACCTTCATTTCTTTTCCACTGAAGAAAGAAACACATGAACATCTTGGATGGCGTGGAGGAGAGTAAATTATCAGGAAATTTAAATGCTGAAGTTAACTAATCTTTTAATGCTAGCAACTACTGAAGGGCGATGTCACAATATTCCTCATTATAATAATTAATGCGCAGAATAAAGGGGCGGGCCTGGTTGAGTTAGTAGTGTGTTAAACTGGCGGTTATGGAAAGGGATGACCAATCACAACACACCGCTCCAGCCGACCAATCAGAGCACACTGTGCTTTTCAGAAGGAGGGGCTTCATAGAGACAGGAAGTAAACAGAGCGTTACTGACAGACTGGGGAGAGAGGAGCCGCAACAATGGAGAATATGAGGAGAATAATCAACATTCAAGCAGGAGAACCTGTTCTAGTAGAGCCTGAAACTACATCAAGAGTTTGAAAATTTTATGATGCAAAGATTTAATACCAAGCAGGTCTGAAATTTCCATTTATCTCAAACTCACACCTGGAAGTGTGCGATTTGAAATCGGCCAAATCTGAATACATCGTTTTTGGTGAGCAATTTCAAAAGATTTCAGTCATTTGAGATTTGGGATGAAGCAAAATTCTCAGAAATCTTTTTTTATGCGTTTTTTCGTATTCGTCATTTGGTGGCTCTGAATTGTCAAAACACTTCTCAAAATGCTTGCTACAGATACGAAAAACGCAGAAAATCGAACCCCATCTAATTTATTCATGATGAATGAAAGTTTCGGAGGCAGTGTGCAAACGTTATTGACAAAAAGTGAGGTCATGTTTATTTTTTAACGTGCAAAAATTTTCGGACGAGAACAGACCTTAACAGTGCACATGTGGGAAGCAAAGGACAAGCCAATACCTTGTTTTTTTATTAAATGTAAAGCCCTTACTGAACACACCGTACTTACTGATCGAATGGGTTTCTTGGCACGAATGCATGATTTATCTAGAACTTTATTGACCGTCGTCATCTGACTGAAGAATTTCTGGTGTCAAAGTTGCATGAAGAATAATATTAAGAGGGAGAGAGAGAGCTGACTCTGGCACTTCTGCTCTGAGTGACTGAGACTCCATCACTGCACTAAAGCCTGCGCTCCACTGAGGACTTCCCTCACCAAAGCCATGTGTGTGTGTGTATTTCTGCTCAAGGTTCATAGAGCATCTGTTTATGTGGTTCTCTATTTGCCTCGACTCTCCTGAGAAAAGGCATCACTATTTATCACAACAGGGCAGAAAATATAACAGAAAACTGAATATGCATGTATACTGATTGAATCATGTTTATGCTATTATTTTATGAATAATGGTCAATCTCCGCATGTAATAATAATAATAATTGTATGCTGCCTTTCTAAAGCACAAGGTCACTTTACAAAGTTAGTTTAGAAGAATACAGACAATAACAAACATCCAAAACAGGGTACAGTTTTATTTAAACAAAATGAATTTTACAAAATATTTGGCTTCTTAAATTACTATTAAATCAAACCTATATGTCTGACCAAGTTGTGTTTCAAATTTGAAGCTGATATCCCAAATATTGATGTGTTCACAACACATATGAACCT